TTTAGTAAACTTTTAGTACCAAAATTATTAATTAATATTATATTATATGTAAAATTCTAATTTGTCTTTGTTGTAAACACGATTATATGTTAGTAACTTTGTTTTAATTTGTTCGATTTTATTATGACTTTAATTTATTCAATTGCATTTTGTTAGTACCATGCATTTGAAGTTTGAACGTTATTTTGATATGTTGGATTTCTTATGATTCTAATTTATTTCATTTCATTTTGCTATTTTCATGGGTTTATGCTTTTCTCTGAAATGTGATGGACGTGATTTAGATTTTACAATTTTCGTTTGTCATATTTTTTTCGGGAATTTTCGTTTCGCCCCTGTCCCGTTCCGTACCGTATATGTCATGTTCCAAATTGTATATGGGACATGAATGAGACAAGTATTTTGATTCCCAAATTCTCGTCCCGTTCCCATTCCCGAACATTTTCGTTCCGAATTCCCGTTTGTCCACCCCTAGTTTTGTTAATAGAAAAGTGTTTAAGATACAAGGAAATTATGTCATACTTTTCTTAAAAAACAAAAGGAAATAAGGAAATTGTGTCATATTCTATTACCTATAACAAAAACTTACTTAGATTAGGAACATTTTTTTTGGGTCAAAGATTAAGAACATTTCTTAATTCTAAAGTTTTAACATAAGAAAACTAAAAAAAAATAGCTAACATAAAAAAACTAACTTCATATTTAGGTTAGATCTTTTTAGGAAATCAAATACCAAAAAAACGTACAACTAACGAAAAAAGTTGTGTCCTAATATGTGTTAAAACATTTAAAAGGAAATTAACTTGAAATTTAGTTTACGAAAATTTCCTATTCTAAAGTATTTGTATCAACTATAAATAACCATCTAAATTTTACCTTAGTTACACGAATTTCTAAACCAAATATAGTTTCTGGTTTTTTTTTTTCGATCCATTCACTTCTTTAGTTTCAACACAATTTTTTTCAGTCAGTTCCAATCCAAGCCTTCGTAATGACTAATTGAATAGGCTATTACGAGACAAAGTTGTAGGCTGGTGTAGTGTACAAGATTAAAAGTTTCTTGGTCATTAACAACATTGGTTCAAACCGATTATGTTGACCTCATTATTGAAAGATAAAAGTTTATGATTCATTCTTATACCGAATATAATGAAACGATTGACAATATATTTTAGGGATCGTTGTTGATTATCATGAATTGATATGGGTTTG